GATCGAAAGTCAGGTTTAATTTTGCCAGATAACATTTCAGCATAATAAGGAGCATTAACTGTGCGTCAATCTGTTAAAAAATATGAATACAAGACACCTTCTGTATCCCAGAATATTGTAGCCATAATCTTAAGTAATCGCTTTGGCGTTTTTTGATTTGGTTGAAATTATGTGATTCGATTTCATACTTGATATTTTGATTCCGGTACAAAATGATCATGTTTTCTCAAGAAATGTATGTAAAAGGGATATTCTAGATAACTCATTTTATTACAAAAAAATATATTTTTCTACTCCTATATATAAAAGTAGACTTTTTCTCAGCTTTACCCTTTATGAAAACATTAGTTTCACTTCTAAAAATTCTAGTAAAATTTTCAGATGATGTCATCAATTTTAACAACTTTAAAACGAGTGTAAGATTTCAGAGCATTCGGTTTTGAAGTTTTCATTTTTTTAAATCTGCATGTTTCGCTTAAAACTCAACATGGATTCATGAACTGCACATGTTTTATAAAATTTAAAACCCATTTACTATGTACAATTTCGAGGTGATCACTTTGTTGGTGGGGACAACTAGATAAAGTTTGATTAACATTTTACCATGTACACAAAATTCGTAAGACACATAAAATTTGACAACAGTTGATCCAGTAGTTTCAGAGATTATTTGTCCAACAAAAATCTACACAGACGGCGAACAAACAGGCAGACAGACGGAAACGGGTATTAGGGGGAATCTAGACAAAAATGTAAAAGTAACCCCACCCGCCTCGGCTTTTGGATTTCATTGGTTTTTTTAATTAGATGAAGACTGAATTTTACTACGTCAAATGGCGAATTAGGCTTAAAAAATTCGAAGTGGCTCCGCCCATCCACCTGGTTTTCTTTCTGGTCACTCATTTATTGGACGAAAAGTGCATTATATTGAACAACAGTGGAATATAAACAAAAACTTAAAACTAACCCGACCCACCTTCGGTTTTGAATTTCATTGGCTTATTTGATTAGATAGAAATTGAATTTATTTTGTCATGTGACCGAATCTATTTATAAAAATTTAAAGTGGCCTAGCCCTTTTGATCGATTTTCCTCCTGATCGGTCATTTTATTGGATGAAAAGGGGGTTTTATATTGATAAACATTGGAATCTAGACGAAAAAGTAAAACTAACCCCACTCATGCCCGCTTTTGAATTTCATTGGTTTTTTGATTAGATGAAGATTGAATTTTACTATGTCAAATAGCGAACTAGACTCACAAAAATTCAAAGTGGTCCCGCCCACCCACCCGGTTTTCCTTCCCCTCAGTCACTTTATTGGACAAAAAATTAATAAAACAACAAATACTAAACGTGCTTACGGGTCTTTATTTTGGCAAAATATTCTATGACGTTATCAAAATTTACTTTCCTCTGTTTTTCAATTGATAAAACCGAAAGATTGTTTAGTCGCGCTTAGCTCATTGTGGATCTTAAGCACGATGTATTTTATCTATGTTAATTTTGAAAAGCTTCTTTTACATGAAGCCATCGAAACAAATGGTTAAAAAAATCTTAGACACGGCGCTAGACTCGGAACAGACTCGGAATAGCCCTATTTTAAGATGAATCTGAAAAGCTGCAATGTACAGTCCACTGAACCGCTTTTTGGGAAGAAATGCTGGCGGCTTCCAAGTGGCTCCTTAGTCGTAAAATTTCCAAAATTATGCCCTCGGCAGAAAATTCATCGTAGATTTTTGTTTGTGTTCCATGAACTTTTTTTGATGACGTTAGCAGTGGGATTTATAAACTTACTGTTGACGTTGAAGTTCCCGTTGCAAAAATTGTCATTTATAAACACCGTTGCGAAGTTGCCGTTGATAGTAACTTTGATTTGCAACTTTTGCCGTATTTAAAGGGGTTGTAGAAGAAAAGTTGAGGATTTAAGTTGATTACTAGAAAAATTTACCATCTTGACATGTTTTAAGTTTCTTGTTGTCTAATAAGTCTACACATACTAAGAAAAAAAGGTAAAATGTAGCCCCGCCCACCCGCCCTATCTCAATTGTGGTGATTTTTTTATTCACCGTGAACCAAGGGGACAGAGCTTAACTGCAAAATCCTTATTTCTCTACGATAAATTAAAAACATGCTTTTGAGTATCGTGTTGTTCAAAGAATACTATGCATATTAAGAAAAAATACAGCCAGATACCTGCCTTGATCTAAACAGTAATGAAGTTTTCATTTATTGACAAACCTAGGGGCGGAGCCTAAATGCAAAATCCATATTTTCTTACAAAAATTTACCATTTTAAACGTGTTTTAACTTTCTAAGAATTAAAAGAAACGTCACAATTGAGATGGGGTGGGTGGGCGGGGTTAATATTTGGCTTTTTTTTCTTACTGTACATAGTATTCTTTGAACAACACAATACTCATTTGTTTTAATATTTGCAGACTTCTTTTCACAACATAAAATTTAAAACATGTTTAAAATGGAAAATTTTTATAAGGAAATATAGATTTTGCAATAGGCATAATTGGAAAATCCATGTTTCCTTGCAAAAACCATTTTAACAATGTGTTAAATTTCTTGTTATGAACAGATGGCTGTATATATTAAGCAAAAAAGACTAAATGTAACCCCCGCCCACCCGCCCTATCTAAATTCTGATGATTTTTTTTATTCATCGTAAGCCGAGGGGCGGAGCTTAATTATAAAATCCTTACTTTTCTAAGAGAAATTACCATGTGAAATGTGTTCTTAAGTAATCGTGTTATACAAAGAAAACTAAACTATATCGCAGGAAAGTATCACGGTTATTCTATGCAATCATGCAATATTCAATTGATGAAATTTTTCTATAAATTTATATTTATTTATACATTTGATTTAATGTCCGTAACGATGTCATTAATGTTTACAACAAATGGAGATCTCAGAATTGAGCCTTGAGCCACACCAGAGGGTACAGCGACTCATGACCTTGATAGTTGATGCCGTGTAATCTACTATACAGATAAAAACCTATCAATTTAATCAGAGAATCAGAAACACCGAAGTTGAACAGTTTCGCTAATAGAATATAAAGATTCAATCTGTCACAAGCTTTGAAATAATCAATATACACCACATCAGCCTGAAGCTTAGTTGATCAGCTGCAAACTGTGTAAAAGCACACAAATTTGTAACAGTAGATTGGACACTGGCAAATACATGATGGGATTCACTAATTAACTACATTGTGGATGGCAAAGAGGAACTATTTAGTATATAACACCATTTCAAAAATCGTGGCAAAATTACAAATCAAATCTGTAATTTTTAGAGATGTACCGACTAGTGTCGGCCGACTAGTCGGCTTTGTCAAAACCGGTTAAAATTGGTTTAATCGACCGAAGATTAGTGTCAAAGTGTAGATAATCTTCCGCTAGTTACGATTCTGAAATCGCTGTCACGATATCTGGTCCAATAAACACAGAAAGCAAATTCAAAATTTCCAAAAATTTTCCAAAAAAGTGGTTAAAATTGGTTAAAAGTAATGTATAAACTGCCCTAAATTGTGTTATTCTTTATTTTTGTACTGAGTTACTACAAAAAATTAAATGTTAAAGTTATCCAAACAAATTTAACACATTTTTAGGAAAACAAAGAAACTTTAGTTATTTCTTTTATTAAAATAAAACAAGTTTTTAAGGTAGTCAGAGAAATAAAAAAAAAACACACTGTCCGTTGCATTTATAAACCGGTTTTGACAAAGCCGACTAGTCGGCCAACACTAGTCGGTACATCTCTAGTAATTTTCTACTGAAGTTCTTTTCCACATTTAAAAACCGAAGAAATTATGGACAATTTCCATAGTGTTATCAGAGAAAGTCCTCGTCTTTAACATTCGGTTGAATAATGTAGAAAGAGGACACCAACCTTAATTGAAAACCCGCGGGGTTGGTGACGGTGTCGGTTCGGGTTTCGTCGATATCTCAAGTGGCGTTGTGGCAGACCTCAGCGCCGTGCCTTAGACCGGCTAGTGCCGCTGAGACACGCCTGACTGGTCTTGGCGAAGAGACCACGGGAGTGGCGCCTCCTGCGGGAGCGGTTACTCGGGCGCCAGCTCCCTCTCCGGAGAGGTAGCACGTGGGGTACTCTAAGCCGGAGAAACGGATCTCCAGATTCTCGTGAAAGCTGGTTTGGATCTTGGGGAGGCGCCAACGCTGAAATGGGGATCGGACAGTAACGGTACGCCGAAAGTAGTAGTTGCGGTAACACGAGGTTCAGCTTACCGCGCGCGTGGGTACAAAAAAAAAGGACGGGTAGAACTTCTACGAGAAATCAGATTTTGTTAAATTATCTTCGAAATGTTCCCGAACTTTTTAATTCGCATGTAATATAATTGGAAAAAGTTCTATGTTCAAGATATTTAGCTTGTGATAGGTTTCATGTTTCGATTTTTCACAGGTAAGGTTTAAAACCCGAGGAAATTGTTGTTGGTTAAGGTTTACGAGGATAGTAACCAATTTATTGTAATGTGAGTGTGATTATTAACAGCAGAAAATAATGTAGATTAAAATATAGGCCACATTTGACATCTGCAAATTCAAAAGTTAAATCCAGCTAACGTCAGAAAGATCTCTCCTAACTCTGTCATAATTCGTTTATTCAATTGGTCGTCCCTTAGTTGTAGTTGGAGTACCATCGTGAGTAACACGACTTGAGGTTTAGAAGATGTGATAAGATGGTTCCATTTTCCACTTGGAGGAGGGTATTAAAGACTAAGGAAGGCATGACTTTGCCAAATAGAGTGAAAAATAGTCTCTAAATACAACAATTAACCTGAGCTGACCCGATCTGGTATGATACGATAAGATGACTGAATTTTGCATGTGGAGTAGGGTATTAAGGGCTAAGAGAGATATGAAATTGCCAAATAAAGAGAAAAAGAATCTCTAAATACAGCAACTGCAGGACTGAAAATGTAATTCAAAATATTTGTAACCGATATAGCAGCGGACATATACTCAGGATCACGAAGCAATGCGTACACGTCATGGATGACGTAGATCCGTTACCAACACTAAATCAAAAATACGCGCCGCAATACGTGGCAATACGGATCAAAATCGATCAATTTGGGGAAAATTAGATTGGTACAACTGATAGCGAAACATATGCTAAAGTTTTATCGATTTCACAAGTGTCATTGGTGTCAACTTTGGTTATGTTGTGTTATTGTTTGATTTTTAGCGTTTTTCTACTTTTCTGCTCGTGTAATCGTATCAGTTCTTTTCAGAACTATAACAGTTCTTTTTAGAACTCCAAGTTAACTGTCGTATACCGTGGTACGTGTCGCTTGCTTGAACGTAAACATTCCACCATGCCGAAGCCCTTGCACAAAGGTGCAAAGCAAATGGTCGCTAATTTAGTGGACTATTTTGCTAAAGAACGCGATAGCGGGGGACCTCTTTTACCACTAACAGCTGTTCAAGACGTAAGTAGGTGTATTTTATTACAATTACTAATGCAGTCACATTGTACAGAGGGTTGCTGCTACTCTGGGTGTGTGTGTGCGAACAGTGAACTCCGTGGTACAACAAATAAAAACCGGAGAAGGTGTACATTCTCCCAAGAAATAGAGACCCCCGAACAAAGCAAGTGTGTGATATTAGCACTTCGGAGCAGTGTGCTATTCGAGAATGCTTATATGGAATGGTCGAAAAAAGTATGAATTTGATGCGCACGCCTTATAGATACTAACGATTATTTTACATGTTACACGATCGTCATTACTTGACTGCTTGAAGAAGAAACATATATTTGAGGGTTCTCTGAGCTCTTTAGGAAGAATTTTACATTCTCTATTGGGTTTCGTTATTCTCCAACAAGTGTACGGAAGCGTCTTATGGAATTACATGTTATTCATGCAAAAACAAACTTCTTACGTGAATACATGCACAATCAGCAGAACCCAAATCCTTTGCCATGTGATCTTGATGAAACATGGATATTTGAAAATGGTTCGGTAGTTAGGTCCATGGCAAGACGATAGTGTCAAAAGTATCAGGACGTTCAAAATAGAAGGGAAAAGTTAGTAATGTGTTAGTTTCACGTTGGTTATTTATTCTTCTCACTATATTTTAGATATATTGTATTACATGTAGGTACAAGCAATGGATTTATTGATAAAGCAGCGCTGGTATTTTCTTCTAATACCAAAAATCCAGACTATCATGGCGAAATGAATCAACAGAATTTTCTCAAGTAGTTTCAGTTACTCATGAATCTTGAAGAACCGTCACTGATTATTATAGACAATGCAAGCTACCACAGTACCCTTGCAAACAAATGTCCCAATGGTTCATGGAAAAAAGCAGAAATTCGTGAACGGCTTTAACAATATGACATAAGTTCAGATCCATAGCTGTTAAAAACGGAACTTCATCATTTGGTTGCACAGTAATGCATGTACTATTCTCTATCATTTCATTTAAAATATCATGTTTTTCAGAAACAAACATCCAAAAACGTATGTTGCCGTGAATTAGGCCAACAGAATGGCCATAGAGTATTGCGTTTGCCGCCATATCATTGTGTGTTTAACCCTATAGAAAATATTTGGGGAATTACTACAAATTATTATTCCAAACACATTGGGCGTGATGGTTATGGTCAAACAAAATTCCGTGGAAATGTGGAAAGAAGCGTTAGCACATGTCACGCCCACAATGTGGAAAAATACTGTTGACCATATGAATAAAATAATACGGGAGTGGTGGGATTATTTGACCGTGAAGAGATTGTGCCGTTTATAATCGACATTAACGAAGATTCAGATTATAGTTTTAGTGATTATGACAGTGAAGATTCTAATACTGCAGAGGGCATTCAGCCACTGTAACATGTAGGTTATTTTCCATTACCATCCTAATTGATTGTACTAGCGGCATGTTCTGCTGATGTCTTTTATAATCACACTATCACTTCACTGGCCAAATATACAGATCACTGGTCAGACGAAGACGTTGTGCAACATCAATAGTTATTATTATTTATAGTTTACTTTTGTATCTGTTCCATGTCAATAAAGTAACTTGTTCTGTAGATGTGACGTGGCCATTGTGGCATTGAAGACGGTAAGAATATTTCTCTAACTTGAAGCCTGTCACAACAATTCAATGCTGTCTGTTTGAAACGTATGTTGACATTCTCGTTGGTAGCTTTAAGTACAGTATGAAGCCTTGTACCACCCTGCAAGTATGTGTTTAACACCCAATTGTCAATTTTTACCAGCAGTCAATGCAAAAATGAACGTTCTTAAAGCCAGTCATTCACGTTCCAACGCCGGGGTACAATTGTATTAGATACAACTGCTGCACAATTCTGCTGATAAGCAGCAGTACACACACGTTACAACCTTGCAGTTAAAAATTTGCGATCGTGGTGGCAACATGTCCGAAGAAAATGGACTTTTATACCTGCTTTCACGGTTTGTATAACGTACACTGTCCACAAGATCAAATTTCCATCCAGTACAACACGATTGTACTGCTGTACACAGACTTCTTCACCAACCATCCACATCCAACCGATTTGCTTGTCGCATACACAGACGTTCAAAAACACTTCAATTTCGTCATATCCTACACAACTGTGCCGCGGCGTTGGAACGTGAGTGGCAGGCTTCAGTGACTAGGAACACGTGAAAGGGGTTACAGTCATGATCTTTCCTGTGCCTGAGTTTGTAATTCATAGCATCTGTGCAGCCTGCAGCATGCCCTTGTGTGCTGAAACACTGCAAGTGTAGCTTATTTCTTAACTGTTGCTTCACACTAACGGTCTTCTCATGCTATAATCCTAAATAGAACAAACCAAAACAATAACAAGCCGACATGTTTGTTGACAGTTTTCAAACCGATTCATTTGTATGATAAACGTGGTAGACGCATGATGTCATACAGAGTCCGTGACGTGTACGCATTGCTTCGTGATCCTGACTATAGTCAAATGTACAGACCTAAAAACATGGTACCCCCAAATTACCCATCTCACGTGGAAAGCTTTTCTAAATATAAACTATTTTAGGCAAAAACCGATAAAGATTTACAGCGAAATATTTTAAGCACCTATTACAAAAATTTTAAAATAAGCTAGTTGACCACACTTCCCTCGTATCTAATCACTACAACAATCAGTATCATGATTCAAGAGATTCTTAGCACTGATAGCTAAATATTTGTTAATGTTATTTTCAAAGCTAAGTCATCCTGTCAAAATATCTGCTCGTTAATTTCGCGAAACAAGGTATTTTAATTTTTTAGCTAATGTTTAAAACTTCGCTAGTTTATCTTCCGGATAAAATTTTGGTATCTAGTTTCAAATATCGGTATCACTTTACACAATCTGCAGACATGTAGGTATATTTACATTCTGACGATACTATATATAATTCATTAATACCCAAACCGTCGCTTGTCATTTACATTAAAAATCTGACATTCCATAAATAATTTTTAACCGAGCTGATGTTGCATGTCGTCCTTCCACTAAAATATCATAATGTGCAAAGTGAATATCCTGGAACTTTATGCCGCTTCTGACGATAAGTTCGGAGTACCAGCATTAGCAAAGCCGTCTGTGTTGATGATTTATGCATTTCCATCAAAGCACACAATATACCAATGTCGATTCTGTGAAATCATCAATTGTTGACGGCAATACCTCCGTAACACCTACACGACAATACACTACAGGCTAAACGGTTTACGGTTTACGTAAATACACCTATGTATTTTCTGTTTATTATCTAAAAATATTCACAGTATGATTCGTTTCATTCCAATGCATGTCAAAAGCTCTTCAAAATATGTCACATAAAACACGTTTCTTGTTAATGGCGTTAAACTCAAATCCGCCTCGAGATACCCATTGTTGCGCCTTCGCATTGATATCTGCTCTTTATCATATTGGAATTTTCTGATTGTTGACTTTCAGGTTGGGTGGAATTATTTATAAAATGCCACTCACGTGGCACTTTCGTAGATACGATTTTATCACGGGTTTATTTATTAGTAATGGGATGACATAAGCCGAACACTGCATGGGGTCAAGCCGGACACAAGTCATAAGTCAGTCCTGCTAATTATTTCGCAATTTATTCACGGACATGGTAATAATTCACTATCGGTTGACAACTCCTACAAACTGGTAAAGAACTGCACAAGCGCTTATCAGACTTAAATTGAAGTTTCGCCAAGTAAGGCTGCAGTGCTGACTGTAATTATTTATTTGAATACAGTGGTAAATTAGCTGCCTGATTTTTAATACGCGGCAAAAATTCTGAAAATAGTATTGCTAGAACATGCGGAAGAGTTTTAGAGGTCTCACGTAACGAAGACTAGAACAGTAACTGAGATTGGTGCCAGTGACAGTGAAATTTGTATTCTAGGTCTCCAACAACATAATGAATTTCGCAACAGATAGATACAAATGCAAGATTCGACAAATTTAAAATTCACCAAATCTGCGTTTTTTTTAAATTATGCATTTTTAAGACTGCTCATGTGTTCGTGATTTTTATAAAATTTTGGGTTTTGATATGGTATGTATGCACGTATCGACAGCAATAAACAACACTCAAAAATAGCCCTGGAATTTTGAAGATTGTCTTTGATCGTTGCATTTTTGAGAGAAAATTTTCAATTGACGCTATGACAAGAGGAAACTTTTATCAAAGACAAATCTTCAAAAGTTCATGCCTGTCTTTGACCGGTTTTTTATTGCTCTCCCGGTATTGATAAAATGGTATGTAAATAATAATTTTGTGACATTCTACTCTTGCTCAGTAAGCATTAGTTTTCTACCAAAAATGTTAAAGAAAATTGATATGTATTTGTATGTGTCACTTGTAATAAAAGTAATCTTAAAAATTCATTCTCAAATGTAGTCAAAATTACATCTCAAACACATTGTTTAATAGACTTTTTTTTTTTGGAATGGTATCAATTTTCTGAAGGGGATACAGATTAAATCTTAGCGAATATCTGTGATGAATCTTGTCAAAAGTTCGTGCGTTGTGCAAGTTCTGTAAATATTTTCTAGTTACGATAACTCCTACCAATAAGGTTAAAATTACGTGTTTTTAAACTGCAGATAATGGGCTGTACTGATATCATTTGGTAAGATTTATTTAACAGAATTTTTAAATAAGTGCATCAATTTTTGGACTTTTTCCACTATAAATACGAATAAAAAGAAAAAATAAAAGGGAAAGGCATAAAATAAGTTTAGTATGAAACATACATGTACCTATGATATGAATATTTTGAGTTTTTTTCAGTGGCTTAAGTATCTAGCATTTCTTACTTTCTTGAAACCTCGACAATAGACGTCGGATGAACATGAAGTGCCATCTGCAAATTGACAAAGATTACGCGAACTAAGTCGTTTACTAAAGCATACAAAGAGGAAGACCTAGAATCGATCCCTAAGGTACACCCTTTGTTATGTTTTGGAATTGGATACTATTTTTTCATTGGTTTCACCATTTTGATAACTTATCACTACTCTTTGAGGTCTACCAGATAAATTAGAAGTTATGAGGTCGAGAGCCACTCCGCGAATCCCAATGCTGTACAGTTTAGACAAAAGAATGTCATGCTTTAAGGTATCAGACACCTTGGAAAACTTTTAATAGATTCCTATGGGTAACTCCCCTTTATCTAAACAGATGACAATGAAATCAAGCGATTTAAACATTCCTCGTTGAACGACCTTTTACAAAGCCATGTCTACAATTTGCTAGTATAGTAGTACAATTTCTCATAATTGATTTTTTTAACTAAATTAATTATTATTATTAATTGACGAAGCTAGTGGATTAGTGATGAAAGTAGTGAGATTCCCTACAATACTGCAAGGAATATTATCAGAACCAGCAAACCTTTTGACACAGATGATCTTTATCTCGGGCTTTATTTTTACTTCATCATTGGAAAAAATTGGACACTGAATTTTCCTGTCGAGCTGAGTTTTTACGATCTAACTGAGTACTTGTTGTTAGGTCAAGTGGTAGAAAATGATTATTAAATGTATCGGCTATCAATTGAGGATCAGAGATCGCAATCCGTTTTTATCGATCAATTCAATATTCATTAATCTAATATGCACACTCGAATTGGATTTGATTATATTACACATAACTTTGCTTCTGTGTTCTTTGGCCGTTATAATACGGTTATTAAGATTTTAGAAAATGTTTGTTTTTTTCACAGTTTGTTTGTATTATTTTTTTTTATTTCATATTATTTATACTTAATTTATAAAAATTTAGAAGTGTTGTAGTTGGATGTACTGCTATAGACACTTATTTGCAGTTTTAACCTAATTTATAGGAAAGTTGTTTCTAAAATGCTGATCAAAAATAAGTTCAATATGTTTAAATTTGTTGAAATTTCACAGTGCGTCTAAAATTTAGCTTCAACAGATTTACTGCAGACAGTGCTCATATTTTACAGACTGTGAACAGACTAGAAAACATTCGTCACCATGATCCTACAAAACTTCATTCGCTTATGATCCTGATATAGAGGCTAAGTCACAAAGTGCGCGGAGATAAAAAAAATGTCGAAGACCAATCAGATTTTTAACTATACACATAACTTAATCTTTTTTAATGAAACACCCTAGATATTTTTACAGATTCCCATTAGCCCCCTCCTAGACTTTATCACTACAGTTTATTTTTGGAATTCCAATGCGACGTTGCCACGTTATTCCAATTTTGGCAGTGGAAGGGTTCATAAAAAGAATTCCAACAGAGTTAGGTTAAAGTTTGTCTTACGATATTTTGTGAAAGGATAAACAAAGGTTCGCGCTTTGTGTTTATAAAAAAATCTAAAACTTTATAATTTTCAAATATCGAAATATTAATTTTTTCAAATAGAACACCCTATACTTTATTACTGTATCTTACCCTACTTTTTGTTCTCATTTTTCTGATATGTCGATGCTGAACTGAAATATCAATACATATATGAAAATTCTAATAACTAAAAAATTTTTATAAACAACCTCTTTACAAAAGTCAATTTCTTTTATACCACAACATTTTAATTGATCTCTCTGCAAAATATTGTAACACAGATTTTACAACAACTCAACGGCGGTTTTTTTTAAGAAACCTTCCAATGTTAAAAAATTTCAAGAGAAGTGGAATAACGTGGCAACGTCTCGTCGGAATAAAAAAAAACTGTGGTTGTAAAGCCCGAGACGAGGTCATTCATAATAATATGTAAAAGTATGTAGGTTGTTTCAATTAAAGAAACTCAATTGTGTATTACGCGTTAAAAAAAGAACACTCTGTACAATTAAAAATAATTTTAGACTATAGTGTTCAAAGAAACGTATACCTTTGGGTTTCCACTTTTTCTTCTACTTCTAATAATAAGTAATGAAATATCGAGGAGCGCACTCTTAGTGACGCACCCTGAGATAAAACTGGTAAATGACGTCCTTTAAGAAAATAGAGGGTGGGTAGGCGGGGCCACTACACTCTTATCTTATCAAGCACTAGCCCTGCCATTTTGATCATTTTATTGGTTTGGGACAGAAGTTGAATTTTACATTGACCAATAATAATCTAGGAGTATTTTTTTTTATAAAATTTTATTTTTACTAGAGTTTAATTTTTTTCGAAAAGCGACTTTGCCGTCAGCCTTTGCCCTTAAATAGTGAACAGATAAATTGTGTAAAGTAGACACAATGAGGTAGAATTGTAAACGCCGCCCCTCTTCTGTAGGTCAATTCCTAGATACTTTGTTTAAAAATGTATTTATTTTCTCACCAACGGTTTAACAGATTTGCCTAAAATTGTAACAAGATAATAACACTGGCATTAATTAACAATAGTAAGAGTAGTCACTAGAATGAAGAGGGGATGGGTTGGCGGGGCTATTGCTTGCTTATAGTAATATATAGCTCCCTCGGAAAAAGTTA